AGAATGAGTGTTTCCGTTAATTAACCTGCCACATCAGCTAAAATTTAACGGAAGGACTAAAAAGGGGTTGGATTTGTGAACAGTAAGGACTAAAAAGGTGATTTTTTCGGTACAGGGACTAAAAATGGCTTTTTCCTATAGTAGAGGGACAAAAAAGGGTATTTAACCAACATAATAATATCTAAAGAAAAACAAAACCTAATTTGAGGTAATTAAATCCTTGATCTTCTATTGTTGATTGATTTTCTATCTTTGATCTCCAAGAATGCTTAAAAGAGGGCTGTCTCCAGCTTCCACCCGCTCTCTCAATTCTGAATTTAGATGGATATTTATAGGATTTTAAAAACCCTAGTTGGAATAGAAGTATGACTTAGAACAGAATAGGAAACTTGAATTTTGGACGCTGAACACATGGTGTTGACACCTCGAATTACGTGTCAAGATTCTGGTATCTCTGCAATTTCTTCAATGGTAGAATAGCAGATTTGGTCCTCCAGCTTTTGTACGATGAGCAATTAGATCCCAAAACTCAAGATTCATTCATTTAAGTACCAAAGAGGCGCCCTTCTTCTTGCAATTCAGTCCCTTAACTTTCAAAAGATGTTTAATTAATCCCACAAACTCCTATTTTTATGCATTCAAGTTCTTTTTTGCACAATGAATGAAAGCCATGTAAAATCTCATAAAACTCATCTAAAAATCAATAATATCAAGATAAAAATTTCACATTAATATATATATATAAATTTAGCTCATCAATATGTTTATGAGAGACATTCAACAATACAATAAGAAACTTTGGAGGGGAATCTTCTAACATGGAGTTTGTTAGAAATGAGGCAGATGCAATGTACCGTGAAATGGTAATTGATGAAATGGGTCCATAGCCTGAATATAATAAGGGGCCAATGGCTGAAGAGCCAAATAGTAAGGTAAGAGAATTTTATGATCTTTTGCATGTTGCATAAGTTTGTATGGGTGTTGGGGGACAGGATGTCATAGTACCTTCATGGATGACAAAAATGTTAAACATGAAGACTCTCTATAATATGAGTGCGGCTAATTGGGAGATGACATTATCATTGAGTCAAAAGTTGTTGAGTCTAGAGGACTAAGAAAAGGTGCCAAAGGATTTCTACAGTGTTAAAAAAATGATAAATGTACTTGGACTTGGGTACAAGAAAATTGATGTTTGTGTCAATGATTGCTTCTTATACTATGATGAGCAAAGTAAGAATTTAATTGCTTGTCCAACGTGTGGAGAATCCCGTTATGAGTCAAGGAATATGGCTGCAATGAGGCAGAAAGATGTTCCAAGAAAGTCTTTGTGGTACCTTCTAATTACCCCAAGATTGCATCGACTATACATGTCTAGGAAAATGGCAGAGCACATGTCATGGCATTTGAAATGCCATGAGGATGCTAATGGAGTTATTCATCTTGCGGGTAGTGAGGCATGGAAACACTTTGATGAAATCTACCCAACATTTGTTGAGAAACTTAGAAATGTTAAACTTGGGCTTTGCAAAGATGGTTTCAATCCATTTGGTTGCTCTACAACATCTTACTCTTGTTGGCTTGTCTTTCTTACAATGCACAATCTTCCTCCTGAATTGTGCATGAAGTTAGAGAATATATTCCTTGCCTTGATAATTGCTTGACCTAAAAGTCTAGGAAAAAACATTGATTTCATGCTTAGGCCATTAATTGATGAACTTAAGGAATTGTTGACAAAAGGGATTGAAACTTATGAGGACAAACAGGATTGAAACTTACGATAGTTTTAGGCAACATAATTTTATCATGAAAGCTACACTACTATGGATTATAAGTGATTTGCTAGGTCATGGCATGTTTTTTGGATGGAGCAAATTGTTAATATATATTATTTATTTGTTTTTTTCCTTTTAATTGAAGCAAATTGAACAGCTCCTCAGATATGTTTGTAGATTTCCATAGGGTTTCAAAGTTGAGCAATTTGGAATTCCTTGACTTGAGTTAGCTTTTATCTCTCAAGTCTCTAAATCTCGCAAGAAACTACTTTCAAGTGTCAAACCATACTAATGGTGTAATTATATTTCATTGATTTCCAATCATCTTTGGTTTATGGGAACCTATTTCCTTATTGTTTCCTCTTGCAATTTGGAACTTTTTGACTCTGATAATTGAATCTATAGTTAACTTGTATAAATTGCAACAAATTGTATTGTAGGTTTTAAGAGGTTTTCTAAGTTGAGAAATATGGAAATCCTTGATCTAAGTAACAATTACTTGAATAATAGTATCTTAACATATTTGAGTGAGCTTCAATCTCTAAAATCCCTATACCTAGTCAACTACAACTTAATGATAACATCAAATCATACGGAGGGTAAAATTTTAACTTATTGTTGTTATAAGTTTACCAAAGTTAATGCAATATTAATTACTTTAATTAAAGACATTTTGCTTTGATTTGTTAAGTTATAATAGCTGATTTTGAAAACCTGTCAAGACTCAGCCGCCACTTGGAATTTCTCGACTTAAGTTCTAATATGGATTTGAACAACAACATACTATCATATTTAAGTAGTCTTTCATCTTTGAAAACTCTTATCTTGCGAGATTGTGGACTAAAGGGGACTTTGAGTACTAGAGGTAATTTAGTTTGCTTTCTCTCCATTTTTATTTTAATTATAATTTTTCTTTAAAAATGATGTGTTATCTTGTACTATTTTATTGAAATTAAACATATTTTTCCTTCTTTTGTTTTGTTGTTGAGCTTAAACAGAACTCAACCAATACATCTTTGGTGTATGGGAACCATTTCCTTATTGTTCCTTTTGTAATTAACTTACATGAGTTACAAGAAATTGTATTGCATGTTTTATGAGGTTTTCTAATTTGAAAATTTTGAAAATCCTGGCTTAATTTAACAAATCATCTACTAATTTTCATATTTTTTTCAGTTTCATCTATTATCTTTGGATTCTTCCATCCTGTCTACTATCTTTTAGATTCATTTCAATTTCATCTAGTCTATTATCTTTGACGAAAAAATTCCTATTCTATTAGAGAACAGTTAGTCTTCTAACTATATTTGTTTTAATCTTTTAGTCCTCAAACTTATATTTGCTGTAAAAACAATTTTTATACTTGAAATTATTGTTTCTTGGCTCTGATACTAGATTTTTCAAAGGGTTTTCAGAACTTAACTCAGACTACTACTGACTAATGAATAGTTGGTATGTTAAGCTTAGTTAGTGTGAAATTAGATCTACTAGACTGGTAACAAAGATGATCTTTGCTTGGCCTTTTTTAATCTTTTTAGATCTTCATTTAAATCTGCAACTGTTTACTTCCACTTTTTGAGATTCTTAGATAGATGATAATCATCTTCAATATTACTTAGTTTTTCTAAAATTATTACTATTTTATTTCTATAATATTCGCATTGCTGCTTATAAACTATCTTATCTAAAACAATTTCTTGAATAAAATCAAACATCTTAAATTATAATGGTTTAATATAAAATGGATTTTTCTATTCAAAATATAAGAGGTCAGGTACTATTTCCCCATCATTTCTCATCTCAAAAATAATATAATGTTAAAGAATAATAAAGTTGTTTCTATGCACACCTTGCTTCCGCATGATAAAATAAATGAATTAGAATTTTACCTGAAAATCCTTTGGACTAGCTTTCAGTCAAGCAAATGCTTCCTTCATCCAACCTTTAATGCCAAATTCAGGTTAAAATGGGTATCCGAATAGGACAAGTGACTTCACTGCTGCCTCAGTTTCTTTAGGATTCTTTTCATTTTATTTTATGATGGAAATAAAGAAGGATAGAAACACAAGAATTATTCTAAAACATAATTTTATTTTTGAGAAAAGAAAGGGAATGTTCCCTTTCCTCTTGAAGGGTGTTTATAGATGCATAGTAGAAAGCTTTTAGGTAAGGTATTTGGATATTCAAATGCCCGATACCTATTACAGCTTATAGGAGGCTTTTTATAGCGCTCCTTAAAATCTTTTCTTTTTTCATTGCTGACAATTAAAGTTTTCATTATTGTCTAGTGATCCAAACTTACTTCTTGCTTTGCCTAAAACAGATTACATGGAATCTTGCATATGCTCTTCTTTTTCTTTGGTTAAATGCTAAATTTGGTCCCTCAACTTTAGTGAGTTGCACATTTTTGGTCCCTCAACAATTTTTTGCACTTTTTTGATCCCTAAACTATACAAAATGCACTCCGTTAATCCTTCTGTCAATTTGGGCCGTTAACTCGGCCCCATGGCATTTTTTATATTTTTTTTTATGACATGGCGAGCACTACTTAAAAAGATGCTTATCTGGACTTTTTTTTTTATTTTTATGATATGTCATCTTCATCTTCTTCACGCAAAACCCCTCCCATGGATTCCAGTTACCTGTAAACTGGTCTCTAATCTTCACCATCATCGATCTTAACCCATTTCTTCTTATTCTCTGAATGCTCTCTTGTCTCCACTCCATCTGCAAAATCGATTTTAACCCATTTCTTCTTCTTCCGTGAATACTCTCTCATCTCCGCTCCATCTACAAAACCGATCTTAACCCACCCATTTCTTCTTCTTCTCTTTTCTCGGGAAACTTGAGCTACTGGGTTTCATTGAAACCTCAAACCTGGCAGATCTTACCAAATCAAAATAACCCTTCAATAAACAATACCAATCAAACTCTAATCGAATTTCAACAAAAATACAATCAAACTTTAATCAAATTCCAACAAAAATGCAATCAAATTATAAATCAATCCCTAAATATATTAACAATTGGAAATGGAAATCGAAAGAAGAACGAAAAAACAAGAACCAAGCTTTCCCAGCAAAGCTGGGTTTCAACCGAACCCAGCAAGGTTGGGTTATCAAACCCAGCCTTGCTGGGTTTCAACGGAACCCAACCTTGCTGGGTTCGTCGAAACCCAGATCTGCTGGGTTTCGATGAACCCAGCCTTGGCTGGTCGACGAACCCAGCAAGGCTGGGTTTCCACCGAACCCGAAAGAAAGAAAGAGAAAAAAAGAAGGGGAAGAAGAGGGATTGGGAGGGTGAGGGTGAGGATGAGGGTAATAAAGTAATTTTATATGTTTTTAATTAAAATATGTATATTAATCTATGTGGCATTTTTATTTATTTATATAATATAATTATAATATATATTAGTGCCACATCATCAAAAAAATTAACAAACAATGCCACATGAAATTATTTAACTGTCACATCATACTTAACTAATGGAGGGACCAAAAATGTGCATTTTGTAAAGTTGAGGGACTAAATTTAGCATTTAACCTTTTTCTTTAGTGACGTAAGCGCTTACATCTTTTTGCATTGGATTCTTTAGAGAATGATGAGATTTTCTTCACTGTTTGAGGGGGTGGTCCCTTCGTTACATGGGGCTTTATCTTTTCCTTTTGCAGATTCTTTTTTGTAGCAGAAACCACAATAACTGCCATGCTTTAACAGCTTGCATAGTCTATTATGGACTGTTTTACTAGTTGGGACCAGATTTTCAAAGATTTTCAAAGATTTCCTTTCTTTTCTGCTTTATTTTGAATAGGCTGATGCTTGTCGTTAATCTTGCACTAGTGGATACCGCCGAGATTTCTTTGGAGAAGTCATATGTCCATGTCTTCTTCATTTCTATCATTCTATCAAAGATTTGGAGTAAAACCTTGAATCCCAAATCTCGTCTCTCTTGGATGAACTCGATCCCACAAAGAGACTCTTCAAAGTCTTGAAAAATTTGATCTTCAATCGCTTCTACCTTGATCTTTTTGGATTGGATTCCAATTTGAACTATATGATGACTAGGGAGATATTGAGATTTCTCTCATTCTGGTGCTGTAGAGTAAATTTTTACAAATACCACCCCTTGAGCTTTGGTGCTAGTTTTGAAGTCTTTCACTCCTTGGCGTATAACTTTTGGAAGTTCTGAAACTTCTTCATTATCCTTTGAGAGATAAATACAGTTTACAAAACCGTAATTGAATAACTCTTTTATTACTTTTGGGTTTGCACCCTCCATGAAATTAATTCTGGGATAAATCTCTTCATGGATAGGATGGCAATTCTCAATGGACCTCATTGAATATGCCATTTTACAAACTCTGCGGTATTCCTGCAGATATTCTTCACTCATTGTCATTTTTGACAAGGTGTTTATTATTGTAGCTTTCTTTTCTTTCTTTCCTGAGTAATCAGGTCAAAAGTTATGGCTTTCGGCATTTTGAATAGCCGGCTTTTCAACTTGAGACGCTGATATTTATGAGGGAGAGTATTTGACATAATAATCAAATTTCCCTGAACTTTCTCCAAGTAATCCTACTAAAGGATCACCTTGTTCAAAATTTTCTTTTAGCTTTTGTTGAGAGCTTTTCTTTGCCATCTGGCTAGATTCTTTAGAACTAATTCCAACAGTAGTAATTACTCCGTAACTCATTAATTTTTCTATCATCTCTTTGACCTCTTCAAGGGCATCTTGCCCCTTATTTAATAACTCATGGTCTTTAATAATCTTTTCTTGGCCTTCATCCATAAGGTTATGGCCTTCATCGATTATTTCTTGGCCTTCAATCATTTTTTCTTGGCCTTCTCTTATTTGGCTATTGCCCTCAATGAGTATCTCTTGACCTTTGAGAATAAGGTCTTTCCCTTTATTTTGGACGTTCAAGATTGCATCCATTAGCTCCTTCTCTGCTCAAGAAATCTGCAAAACAATTATTAGTTCCTTTGACATGTTCAATTTCAAAATCATATTCAACAAAAAAAGTTTGCCATCTATTTAACCTTTTATATTCTAGTGTTAAAGGTAATTTATTAAAAATAAATCCCCTAACTTGAGTATTGTCAGTTCTGACCTTAAAATGTTTTGGTAATAAGAAGAAACCGAACTTTTTTATTCCATTTTTAATAGCCAATAACTCTTTATGATTTGAATGATATCTAGTTTCTACATCTTTACATGTACCACTAGCAAATCTACAAACTTTTTCTTGAGAATTTTTTAAAACTGCTCCTCAATAAAAAACTAAGGCATCACATTCTAAAATTAACTCTTCATATTCTTTAGGCAATTGTAGCCTAGGAAGGTTTTTGCAATATTCTTTTATTCTTTTCACATGATTAATGTGATAAATTTCCCATTGTTGATTTTCCTTTTTCCTGAGTAACTTTTCCAAAGGATGTCTTAATTGAGCTAGGTTTCGAATAAACTGTTCTGCATAATTGAGTATTCCTAAAAACCTTTGAATTTGTTCTTTATATTCTAATTTATTTGGGAACATCGAAATCTTTTCGCTAATGTGTGATTGTAATTCTATTCCCGTGGAATTTATTGTTAATCCAAGGAATTCAATTTTGGTTTTTCCTATTTCTACTTTCTTTTCAGAAAGTAATATTCCATGTTTCTTGTATAAATATGCAAATTTTTTAAGATGACATAAATGTTCTTTCTCATTATCAAAGAAGATTAGTATGTCATCTACATAAACTATGCAAAATTTTTTGATGGAAGAAAATACATTATCCATCCTTCTTTGAAATATTTGAGGCACATTTTTTAATCCAAAAAGCATTACTAACCACTCATAGTGTCTTGTAGGAGCACTAAAGGCTATTAGTGGGATACCATCAAGAGTTAGCTTAATTTGCCAAAATCTTGATTTACAATCAAACTTTGAATACATTTTCTTTCCCCTAATGCTATTGATTAGAGTTTCTTTATGTGGTAAAAAGTAACCATTGAATTTAGTTTTGCTGTTAAGTTGTTTATAGTTGGCAACCATTCTAGCTTTTTCTCTTTTTAATTCATTATAATTTCTTACCATGAAGGCAGGACTACTATGCGAACTCTTAGAGGCCTGTATTATTTTTTGGGCCATTAACTCTTGAATTTGTTTATTAAATTCTTCTTTATCTTCAGGGCTATACCTCATTGGTTTGACTTTAATGATAGTTTTTGGGTTTATCAATTCGATTGTGGCATAAGTTTTATCAACTCCTCATAGTTTTGTAGGATCTTCTTCATAGTTACCTTTTAATTCTTCTGAGATAGACTCTAAAGTTATTTTTTCTTGTGTTTTTTCATTATTCCACAATGCTAACACTGGTTTTTTAATTTCTTTTGATCGAGTTTTTGTATTATCTTTACCACGTTGGCTGTGAAAATTTAATGGTTCTGTTGTTCTAGTATAAGCATTATAAATTTTGGAGGTGTAAAGCCAATGTCCACAAGGTGTATAAAATTTTACATATGATGCAATTTGAACATACTACTTGAATTGACTTAGGAAATTGTTTCCTAATAGAATATCATTCCCATGCTTGTTACTTTCATAGACTTGGGGAGTTATAACTTCAATTCCACCAATTACGACAGTAACTCTTTCTATTATTGTTTTATATTGAATAATACTTCCATATATAGCTACACCTTTCATAGTTTGAGAGGTGTTCCTCCAATAATATTTTGGGAATACATTAATTCTATACTAGCAGTCATTTCTGTTTCAGCATGAGCTGTTATAGTGATTTCATGTTGTATCTTATTCTTATCCTCTATTTTAAGAGGTTCTTTAGCATATTCATGTACTGTGGTCATTGCACCATTAAAGTTGTAGTATGTGTATAGCTTAGTGAGTTCAAATCTTGGTAGGTGTGAGATCATATCATTATGGATATATGTTACTCTTGCTCCTGTATCTATTAGGATAGAAATGTTATGCCATTCTTTCCCATCATAATAATCTCCTTTTATTTTGAAATGTCTAGAAGGGATTTTTAAGGTGTCTAATACCACCTCATGTTTTATACTAATTGTTCTACTTAAGACCTCTTTATCTTTCTTAGGATAGCGTATAACTCCTAAGTCTACACTATTTTTATGGCTTGATTCAGGTTCTATTTTGACTAATAGTTTTCCTAACTCATATGCCATTAGTCTAGGTGTTTCTCTTTCTTCTATTAGGAGTGGTTTTTCACTAATGTCTATTTCCTATTCTTTGGGTAATTCTATTTCAATGATCATTTCAGGTTTTTGAATTTGTCCTATTTCAGAGAACATAGGATCTAATTCAATATATTCTTTATCTTTAAAAAGATTAGATTGATGACTATTAGTCAGTGCATAACTTATCATATAATATATACTATATGGCATTGATCCATCTTTCATAAAGTTTTCTCTAGCAAATTCCTGGGCTAAACTTAAGGTTTTATTAATATTTCTATCATTAATGTTTACAGCGTATTTTGAATATACTATAAACATAAGTTTCTGGTAACTAAGGTTACTTTGCACTAATTCAAGGATAGCATCCTTTCTATCATTGATTCTATTATCTATTAAAGCTAATTTTATTGGGGTGTCTATTCTTTCTCTAAAATGAGCTTTAATAAGTATTTGTATTCCTCCAATGTGGATAAAACCTATCCTTGATCTATTAGCTTCTTTGATTTTTGATAGTTTGCTTACTATTTTTGCCTTGATAATCAAAGGTATATTTATTATTCCCATTGTATTCTTGATAGGAATGCTATATTCTTTAGTGGATATTCCGTAATAAACTATATCTTTTCTCTTAAATGGATTACTTATAAAGGAATTTGGCTTGAATCCTTTTTCTAAAGCAAGGTTCATTCTCTTTTGTCTAATTCTTTTATATTTACTTTTATCGAATACAGTTATTTGACTATATTCTCCATGTCCTTCATATTCTTTAGAATAAGCTTCTCCTTCTTTAATATCCTGATTCATCACTACTAGAGGTATATAAACTTTCCACTTCATATATACTTTCTTCGCTACTTATAGAGCTAGCATCTATTTCACTTAGTTCTTTTTCATAAATTTTTAGGTTTTTAGTACTTTCTCTTTTGTATCTCTTAGGACATTCATTTGCACAATACCTTTCTTCTTGACACAACCAGCATGTGCATTTTTTAGGATTCTTTTTATACTTTTTTGATGTTTTGGTTTTCTTAAAATGCCTCTTTTTATTTCTAAAAAATTTGTTCTTATTAAACCTTTGTTTATTATTTCTTTTAATTCTAAAT